ATAATTTCTACCAACATTGATGAACTTGTCTCATCATTTTATCAGTCCTCCCAAACCTGCTGCATAGAACTGTGTGCTCTGTTTTCTAAACCACATTTTCACTTTACATTCAACTTATGCGTCATTCGCAAAATGTCTCCAGCCAAAGTGGGTTTTCAGTGGACCAAAAATGTGGAAATGGCTAGGGGCTAAGTCAGGCTGTAAGGTGGATGTTCTAGATTGTTAATGTTCTCCTGAGTTAACTGAGGCATATGTGGTCTGGCATTGTCATGAAGGAGCAGTACCTCTCTAGTCAGCAGGCCTGCCTGGAAGTTTCCTTCAAATAGCTTCAAGAAGCATTAATAGCACTTTTCAGGATAAACATTTATCAATAATAAAAAGAATTCTACAGGGGAGAATGCACAGCAGGGGTCCACAGATCATCAGCAAAAAGATCCCTCATAAGAGACATAAAGTTTGATGTTGCCCGACCTAATGACACCTTAAAAAAAAAACCAACTACATTTTCCTGCCATCCCATAACCATCTGTGACTTACTTATTGACTTCCCCCTAGTATTATATATACAGTATATATTTTAGTTTATCTGACAGCATCTCAGGTAGGAAAAAGCTCATCCTACTACTGCTAGGGACTGAACCCAGACCACTGTACTGGTAAGAAGCACACTATCAACTATACCAGCACAGCTCATTTATACATGACTCACTGATCATCATTAGCCATGCTGACAAGCATAGGCAGTTATGTTTCACCATCTCAAACCATCAGCAGAATCACAGATCTGGTCAATACATCTGTCTCAACCCATCAGCAGAATCACAGATCTGGTCAATACATCTGTCTCAACCCATCAGCAGAATCACAGATCTGGTCAATACATCTGTCTCAACCCATCAGCAGAATCACAGATCTGTTCAATACATCTGTCTCAACCCATCAGCAGAATCACAGATCTGGTCAATACATCTGTCTCAACCCATCCATGTGGCCATGTCATTTTTTGTGTGTACCTTACGTTTTTTTTTAAATCAACCCTGCCAGTTGGGGCTAAGTTCTCCAGGTTCTCATACAAAATATGTATTGCAACAAGCAAAAGTGGGTCAAGGTGTCCAAACAAGTTTCAGACTTGTCTAGGGTTCAAATCACGTTAGGTCGTGAGTGCAGAGACTGGCCAGCTGGTGCTGCAGAATCAGAAGTTAAACAAATGATTCATGACAATTTCTGCCCAAGTGATATGATTATCTATACAGATGGATATGTGCATGGGGAAGGGACTTCAAAGCCTTGCATATGATACCACAACATCTGAGAATGGAGGTGGAGGCAGTCACTGCTGCCTTCCGCTGGCTTGAGAATCAGCTGTACACACATGCCCTGATTGTAACTGACTCACAGAGCATGTTGAGAAAGGTGAAGACAGGCACGCTTCGTGCAGTGGACAGCATCACTTCAGAGGTCCCAGTAGTTAGCATCCTTTGGATATTTTCTCCAGGTAATGCCGGTGTGCTGGGAAATGAGCATGCAGATAGACTGGCTGGCTATGCACCACTAGCTGGTGAAATGATGTATGACAAGTTAGATGATGTGAGGGCCCTTTGGGAACGGGTGAACAGTGCTGAGACGCAGATCATTACGGTCTAAGGAGAATGGCGCTGCGAGGAGTTACCAGAGAATCTGGCCAGAGCTCAACACTCAGAGGAAGGATGAGATGGATATATAATCAGATGGTTACTGGTATCATCAGAATTAAAATTATTCGCTTGCTGCTGAAGATGGGGACTGAGCACTTATGGGATTGTCCCGAGTGCTGTGATGTCGATTCTTAATTCAACAATCAGAAAAATTCTCGAGGCCATTCCTTCCCCTAGGAAAAAAGTGAAGGACCCGTTCCATGCCTTTAGGCATGTTGGGCATAGACATATTTTATAGACCAATCAGCACTCTGGTGAACTGGTCAGCATCAAGCCACCTGCCTTTACTACCTAAGACTTGTACCTGGTACCCACTCAAGGCTGGGTCTACATGGGAGCCAAGTCATTTAAAAAAAAAGTCTGGCTCTGACAGGACCCAAACCCACCACCTTCTGAGCCACAAGCGAGCATCCAGCCGCTATACCATGGCGTCTTCCTTTCCTTCTCCTAACATGTCCAAATCATCACTGATCGTTCTAGGTCTAATTTCTATAACCAGGTCACAGTTTTCACCTGTTTCAAGGAAGACTGCATTGTTTGTTTTTCTGTTATTTCATATATAACTAGTTGGCATTAAAAAAATTCTTTAATTGGTAAGACAAGTTGGGATACCAATGTGATTCAGCGTGCTAAATGTGGACAAAATAGCAACATGAACTCCCAAGGCAGAAGTCACTCCAGTTTTTTCTTGCCAGACAACACAAGCTCAAATCAAATATCCTAACAATGTGAATGCCAGTCTGGCATGATATTTGATAGATGTCACCAGGTAGCCTGAGGCTCAGTTCATACTGAGCTCTGATGGTGAGAGGTGGCAGATTTGTATCTTCTGACTGGGTAAAATCAATACCATAGATGAGCTAAAACAAGCATAAGTAGGCTATTCAGGCATATTGGGGATAGCTATCATACTTATGTATTCTAAAAGATAGCAAAGATATTCATGTGTTTGGTTCACCATTGAAACATTAATTAACCCCCCCCCCCCCCCCCCCTTCCCCCCCTCAATGACAAATGTTTTACTAGCAATCATGCATACAAGATAGGTGAGAGCAGGATAGCTGGACAGATACAGATGGAAACATTGACAGAAATCAATCAAAAATAAATATATATACAGTCAGTCAAAAAGATTTACATATAAACAAGTAGGTAGGAAGATGGATATACTGATATACAGATTGAAGGATAGACATATGCCATATTTTTCCAGGTATAAAACCATGTTTTCCAAAATTTTTCAAGTTTAAAATTGTTGGTCATCTTAAACATGGAATATTGCAATTAAATACATAAATAAATATACTGTTAAAAAAAAAAAAGAAGAAACGCATAGTTATCCGAAGGCACATTTTTTTAGTTTGTAAATAAAATATCAAACTCGGGTTTGTGAAAAGCTGACTCAAATGTTGTTTACCGTGTGCAGTGAACATGTGGGCCTGAACTACGTGGGTTTTTGAAATTGTTACAACGCAGTGGTCAATTGTGTTTAAGACCATATTTGTGAGCATAGCTCACGATGCACGCATGAGAAAACACAATTTGGAGTGAATACTATTCACTACCTACGCAAATGAAACCCTATAAAAGAATAAAGCCACACAGAAACATCCAGTTCATTATCAAGCAGTCATGAATGGCGCCTCTATCGATAAATTTAAGGAATCTTGCTATTGGTTGATTGCAGACAGGAGAAAGTCAAAGTCAGGTTGCCAGGCATCTAAACGTGCATCAGAGTACCATCAGTCAACTTTGGCTCCGGTTCCAAGCCACTGGTTCAGTTGAAGACCAACATCGCAGTGGACGATCCAGAGTGACAAAAGCAGTGGAGAATCGCTTTATTGGGTTTCATCACCTCAAAGACAAGTTTACAACAGCTTCCTCAACCACGTTAAATGTCTGAACAAACTTAGTGGAACAAACCGCATGACGTTAAACTTTGGGCATAGCGACCACACTGAGGACCTGTACTTACATAATATGAAATTGTAAGTATGTATGTTTCTTTCAGTAGCTATGCCTCTCTTTTGTTGGACAGTATGCATAACACTATCCACATTTTTTAAAATCCATTGAATGCCACCCATTGAGTGCTGGATCAGACAGTGAAAAACAGGAAACTCTAATCAAATGTGAATATTGAAGATGGCCTTCAGAGAAAAATCTGATTCTAAAACAAAAGATGTTTTATGATGGCGACTTGTCAGGTCGTCTATCAACAGTCTTAAGCCATCTTGACCCAAAGCGGAAACCTTATACTTACACTACATGTTATAATAAACACCACAGCAATAGGCAAATCAGTGCTAAGACCAACATCAGACTGACTTAAGGACTCCATCATTGAATTCATCTTAACTTTTTGTGTGTGTGGAAGCCTTCCCCATTTACAGGATTTTGATCATATAAGCAGGTGTTTGGAATCATAGTTTACCTACACCCAGGTGAGCTACCAACAAAGGTCGATGAACCCCCTACTATATGAAAGCAACCAGCTATCTGAAGGCATCAATAACTCTTCTTTCCTCTTTTGTCCATTTATTAGAAACAGTTCTGTCAATCAGAAATTTAAGTGCGTGTCAAGGCCAGTTTCAGTTTAAAAAACAGCTTAAGATTTTGAATGTGGAAATTATGACAAAGTAAAAGAAATGAGCAATAATGACGCCAAGAAATGATACACAGAACAGATTTTTAAAAAAGAAAATAAAGAAATACAGCAAAACAAAGCATAGACAATATCATTTTGCAGGTAAATTATTTGCAAGTACTACCCTTTTCTCATCAGAAGACAGACTGTTATGGAACTGACATGGTGAACGAGGTATAGGGAGGCCAAAGAACATATAAAGTAGAGAATAGGAATCTTATAATTAAAAAAAGGACCCTTTTCCACGTATGGGTATATAGGGCTAGACCTATATTTAATAGACCAACAGCACGAGATGGGTGATGTGGTCAGCATCAGGCTGGCCACCTTTACTTCCCAAGACCACACCAGGCACCCACTCAAGGCTATGCTGACCTGGAAGCCGTCATTTTCGAAAAAGTGCAGGGAACGAACCTACAACCTTCTGATCTGCATGGTGACTCTAATAAAGACACAAAATTAATTTTAAAAAAAGGGGGATGGCAATAGACATGTATTGAGACAAAGAAATTAAGAAGACAGAAAATGGAAGAAGAAATTAAATAAATTAAACGAGATGGCGAAGGACAGCAAGAAGAGGATGAACTTGTTGCAAGCTTTTATTTCATAAATAAATCAAATGAAACAAGAGGAATAAATAAGAATGTAAAACTCACCTATCACTCCCGGATGCTGCAACAGAAACGGGTCTCACACTGCAGGTTTCGGCATCCGCTGGCCGTGGAGAAATAGGGGTCATCACTCATGTTGTCACAATAGAAGAGGTTAGCATGGTCCAGGCAATGGCTACTAGAAACCAGTCGCGACAAACCCAGAGCGGTCACGGCCACACAGCCTGACAAGTCCAGGTGATGCAGATGTGGAGTTCCCTCCCCTTCGGCCAGGGCACTGCGAGAATTAAAGGATAAATATTGTATTACCTGCCAGGTTTAAAGATGTTGGCACAATGGTGCTTCAGTGCTACAGGGAGCTATGGGTATCTCAGCTTATGGTGAAGGTGATTGTGACTAGCAAGACCTGCTTATGTAAAGAAGGAATCTTCCAATGCAGTGTGACTCTCCCAATGAAGTTAACAGGGCACTGCAGAGGGCTCGGACTAAGGCTGCTGCAGTGGACACCAATTGTGAAAACAATTATGTGCACAAGTCAACAATAGACTAGCTGGGACACAGCCTGGCAAACAAGTCAACAAGAGACAAGTTGGGACACACAGCCTGACAAACAAGTCAACAAGAGACTAGCTGGGACACAGCCTGACAAACAATACAAGTCAACAACAGACTAGATGGGACACACAGCTTGACAAACAAGTCAACAGCAGACTAGCTGGGACACACAGCTTGACAAACAATACAAGTCAACAGCAGACTAGCTGGGACACACAGCTTGACAAACAATACAAGTCAACAATAGACTAGCTGGGACACACAGCTTGACAAACAATACAAGTCAACAATAGACTAGCTGGGACACACAGCTTGACAAACAATACAAGTCAACAATAGACTAGCTGGGACACAGCTTGACAAACAATACAAGTCAACAATAGACTAGCTGGGACACACAGCTTGACAAACAATACAAGTCAACAATAGACTAGCTGGGACACACAGCTTGACAAACAATACAAGTCAACAATAGACTAGCTGGGACACACAGCTTGACAAACAATACAAGTCAACAATAGACTAGCTGGGACACACAGCTTGACAAACAATACAAGTCAACAACAGACTAGCTGAGACACACAGCTTGACAAACAATACAAGTCAACAATAGACTAGCTGGGACACATAGCTTGACAAACAATACAAGTCAACAACAGACTAGCTGGGACACACAGCTTGACAAAAAAGTCAACAGCAGACTAGCTGGGACACACAGCTTGACAAACAATACAAGTCAACAATAGACTAGCTGGGACACACAGCTTGACAAACAATACAAGTCAACAATAGACTAGCTCGGACACACAGCTTGACAAACAATACAAGTCAACAATAGACTAGCTGGGACACACAGCTTGACAAACAATACAAGTCAACAATAGACTAGCTGGGACACAGCTTGACAAACAATACAAGTCAACAACAGACTAGCTGAGACACACAGCTTGACAAACAATACAAGTCAACAACAGACTAGCTGGGACACATAGCTTGTCAAACAATACAAGTCAACAATAGACTAGCTGGGACACAGCTTGACAAACAATACAAGTCAACAATAGACTAGCTGAGACACACAGCTTGAAAAACAAAATGTTTTTTCTCTGTTCCAGGCCCCCTAGTCTCTGACCTCTCTTGCTTGTGTGAAGGGTTACGGGTTATCTACTGAACCACTCACTGATGGTACACTGTGCATGCCCATCACGTTCATACAGAACTTGTTTACAGGTTCACTTCACACTGATGTCTTTATTCAAAACAGCTGACAGTTATTTGACAGGCATCCATCTTGACAAGAAAAGATCAATGAGCCAGGTATTTAAGGCCATGGGTGGCTGCTTGGATAGACTCGGCTCCAGAATATTCACTTTACCTTGCTTCTTGTTCCAGTGCCAAACACAGAAGAAAGTTTTTTTAACCTGCCACTCATGAGTTCAATTCATAAGCACAACTATATTACAGTTCTTCCCCTTTACATTTCTCATGACCATCTGTCCTGGTCCATCCTTTCTAAACCCCGCATCTCTGCACAAAAGTTATGCTCATCACAGTTCAACAAAACATCTATCATTACAGTAAAACTGGGATTATTACATCCACAATAAGTGAATGAGATTCCAGGACCACTGTTTGTTTGTTCGATCGATTACTTTGTCGCTTCCAGCTGATATATAAATGTGAATGTTAACCTGAGATTAAAAAAAAAAGAGCTCTATTTGGACAGCAGAACAACAAGATAGATCCCAGACACCCAGTTCGACCCTCACAGAAGTTATAATTGGGGCACCCATAATGGCTCCACCAGCCAGGTGTCACCTGCAGTCCTATGTGGATAATGAGAGCCTCTAGGCAAATCACAAGTACTTTGACATTTTTTTTCTGTCTGCAATCCGTTCTCCAATGTTCCTTTTCCCTGCCTTATTTTTCCCTTCTATGCAACATGGTCCATGGTATCCTGTTCCAAAGAATCCACCTCAATACCTGAATCAGCCATGCTTCACATCTCTATACTTTTTTTAAAATGTTTAATTAAAAAATCGACATCACAGCACTCAGGACATTCCCTTAAGCGCTCCATCCCAATTTTCAGCAGCAAGCGCAGAGTTCCTTTTCCAAAGGTACCAGTAACTGATTGTATATCCATCTCACATTTCCCGTAAGATCGGTCAGATTCCCTGGTCACTCCTCACAGAACCATTCTTCTCAGACCTTGATGAACTATCTATGTCTCTGCACTGTTCACTTACCCCACAAAGGGCCCTTTCAACATCTAGCTTGTCATGCATCAATTCACCAACAAGTTGTGCTGAACCAGCCAGTAAATCTGCCTGTTCATTTTCGGTACTTAATTTATAACTTACCCCTGACGACACGACAACGTCACGGGAGACATTCCCAATAAATTCTAGGGTGTTCAGGTTGTAGTTTCCCACGATTTCTCTACAGTAAAGTTTGGGGTTAGGGTTAGGGTTAGGATTAGAAGATACTAGATGAAAACTCAAAAAAAAAAAAAGCACCACACAACAGCACACTTGCACCCCTTGAAATAATGGACTGTCAGGTCAGCTGTGGATTTCCCACGGGGATTTCCTGTTTGGGGTACGTTATAAATTAAGAACCTCATTTTCTTATACATCACCTGCAGAAAATCCAAAGGACACTAACTACCCAGGACCTTTGAAGTGGTGCTTGCCACTCTTCACAGAGCATACTGGAACATCTTTATACTACTGAAGGATAAGTACAGTAATAATTGCCAGTTGTGGGGTACACATAACAATAAGTGAGCACCTAAATTAAACATGATAAAAGCTGATAATGTCGTTTGATTATGAAACTCATGGAGATGGGTGATAATAATTTACTTGTGTAAATATAATACAAGCATCATAATAACAGTCAGAGTAATCATGAGGGTAAGAACCAGTTAAGTGGTCTAGCCATTTGCCTGGTGCTCTTAAGGTTGTTGGTTGGTTTCACCAGCGCTCTATTCAGTTCACGAGTGCAATTTTTATGGAAATCCCTGGAGACCATAGCTGGAGCTATGGAGTTTGTGTTTTGTGCGGCGCTTTCGGCAGATGGCTAACTGTTCTGTGGAGACATACCGAGCCGTATGAAATAAAATCCGGTACAATGAAGTCAATCCTCTGGACATTAACCTTTAACACTAACTCAACCCTTTGGTCAGTTTATTAGGACTGTAATCATGAACGTGAACGTTTTGTAGTTATTTAAATGTAATAACCTAACAAAACAATGACTGTGAATAAGTAAAACCCTGTGTGGGTTCCAGGGCCTCATTCTGATGGAAAAAAAAAAGGTCCACTGCTCCTTACCAAGCATGCTGTAAGAGTCAACTAATTAAAGATTTGCTGAAATCAGATGCATTGTGCTGAAAGCCTAGCTATACATTATATTGTGTCAACTCCCTTTTAATAGCAAATAAACAAAAAGAAGAAAGAAAAAAAAACCCATATAAATGCTTACCTTAGTCCCACATCAGAGATTCTGTAGCAACCATTAAGGCTCAAGTATTCCAGACTGCAGCCCCTGTCTTCAGCATGGCCACTATCATCAGGCCCTTTGTGGTTTGCATTAGAACAGGTTGCAGAAACACTGCGGCTTCGACCCACACAGTCCAGCAATGGCTGGGGCACAGACTGCTCATCTGCTGCAACACAGGGAGATTCTTCACCACACTGTTCCTCACTGAAGGTCTTCACACTCTTCCAAGTTTCGCCAACACAAGTCCTTTGGCAGCTAGAAGAATCACATCTTTTCAACAAAGGATCTGCCGATGAAGCGACATTATCACAGAAGGGTTGTGCAGATGGACAGGAGTTTACAGATGCATCAAACAATGAGTTGATGCTCGACGAGGAGATAGTTCCATCCGATTTCATATGAATGTTGTTATATACAAAGTTCACAAGAGAAGTCTGTGGATGATGATCCACATGAAAGCTGCCTGCACAACATCTAGAACCAACGTTTCTTTGCTGCAGTAAACAATCATTCGTTTCTGACATCAGATCATGAGACACACCTGAAGTAACATCACAGACAACCACAGCTGTGCGATCACAGTTCTCGTCCTTGGTAAGCTGATCCACAGATGTATCCGACGCATGAGCCACACGTGCAATTCTTTTTGTACAACAGATCTTCAATTTTTCGTTGCAAGGCAGCGGGACATTTTCTATCTCCACACTCCCATCATTCTTCTTGTTGAGGTCTAAGGGCTTCCTGCCAATGGAAGCCAAGCTGACAAGTGTCATATCAGTGATATTTTCACAGCCAGTCAGATCTAAATGTCGCAGCTTGAATGGTCGCCCACTAGCCCCAAATCTGAAATTAAGTTAAGATAAAATAAAACACCCTTTCAGAGACAAGTAAATCTGCTGCTGAAACAACATTTGTATAATCCCACTGGCACTTGCCTGTGATGGGATATCAGCCACCTTTACTTCCTAAGGCATTTCCTGGTACCTACTGAGGCTAGGTCAATTGATCTGCACACACCATCTGTCTTGATGTAGATATAAAATTACCACTGAATCAGAAGGCAAGCATCTAGCCACCCTGCCTCTGTGTCTTCCAACCCTAAGTTTTGTTTGTAGAGTAACATTAGGAATGTAAGAATTCACCAGGACCTAGTAGCAGGAAATGACCATGGAAGTAAAGGCAGCAACATAACGATGACCGTATGATCATCTCTCGGTGCAGGCTATTACACAGAGATGTGGCTGTCAGGGATGACAAGGGAGACTATATGACAATAACATTAAACAAGAAAAAAAAAAGATACAAAAAGAATTTATGCATTTATTACAAAATATATATTTTTTTTCTTAAAGAGAAATTTACAATCTACATCAAATCTTTATATTACGTGTGTAGGAAACAAGATATTGCTCAGTTTTTAAGTAAATTTAAATTCTACAATTCTACAAGCAATTACAGAATTTGTATACTATTATATTTACTCAGAATAATAAAAGAATGTTTTTAAAATGATATTCATGCTGACAATATCACTTATTCACCCAAATATGGGACGCAACGTTTTTCTTTTTAAAGCCCCATTCTGGCAGCTGCCAGGGGCCCAAATATAACCGAACGACTGAATCAGGTTTCTGGTACTTATATCTGGGTCATTCTCATCCGAATAGTGGCACTATGTATCACTATGTGTTTATCTCTTGTTCTTTAATATAAATGAAAAAATGTGCATTCACACACAACTGGTGAAGGGATAAATGATGCATTCACACACTACTGGTGAAGGGATAAATGATGTATTCACACACATCTGGTGAAGGAATAAATGATGTATTCACACACAACTGGTGAAGGGATAAATGATGTATTCACACACAACTGGCGAAGGAATAAATGATGTATTCACACACAACTGGTGAAGGGATAAATGATGTATTCACACACAACTGGTGAAGGGATAAATGATGTATTCACACACAACTGGTGAAGGGATATATGATGTATTCACACACAACTGGTGAAGGGATATATGATGTATTCACACACAACTGGTGAAGGGATAAATGATGTATTCACACACTACTGGTGAAGGGATAAATGATGTATTCACACACAACTGGTGAAGGGATAAATGATGTATTCACACACAACTGGTGAAGGGATAAATGATGTATTCACACACAACTGGTGAAGGGATAAATGATGTATTCACACACAACTGGTGAAGGGATAAATGATGTATTCACACACAACTGGTGAAGGGATAAATGATGTATTCACACACAACTAGTACTGATTAAACTGATGTGCTCATGCATGTGGTCTTGAAGTGAACCATTTTCTCCTTGAAAAGTTATGCTACAGAAAGAATGACGTCAAGTAATAAATGTCACGAGTGCAAAGCCGAGATGCACGGGGAAATTATTGGCTAAATGAAACCCGTGTGAATCAGAGAATATGAGATAGTCAGACGTGGGCGTAATTATAATATGGGAGTTAGAAGATTATATAATGCCTTAGAAAGAACATGTGGACAGTCTTGTTTGGGCTAAGAAACTGAATGCATGGAGAGCGGAGGAGTGTTTGTTGTATCCAGTGTGCGTCTGATATGTCGGCAAAGTTTCTAACGCCTACTTGGCCAGGCAGCAAAGACTCATGGGAAACTGGCAGCCAGCTGATTGTGTGTGTTCGCTCGTATGGAGAATAGTCGTTATCTTTCAACTGCTATGGTGATGGAAGCTGTGTTTTGTCTCAAGGTATAGTTGATACTTATTAGTGCATTTTAAGATATATATGAGTACCTAGACTTATTACCTCAACATGTACCGGCTGAACGAAACAGCAAGTGGAGAATAAAGAGTGAAAACCGCCTTGTATCGTTACTGTCGTCCATTTTTACTCGTGGTGTTGACTGTCAGAGCATGAAAGGGGAGTCTGCAAGTGACTGGAGCCATAGTGAATAAGAACAGAGTCATTGTAGTTCTCTACAATACTGCACAGGCTCTGTGCTATGCAGAGGAGTAACTTCATTCATGGCCTTAACTGATATCTCTATCATAATTCATGCATAACTAGTAATATTAAAATGATGTATTTATCAGCCAGTACTGGCTAGCTGAAAGCAGTAATGAACATTATTTTCAAAGGGTCACAAATTGGGCACACAGGTCTGTCTTACATTCGGCCCTTCCAAGCACCCATTTTTCACACAGCAGTTGTATTGTATCAATAAAGTATGTTATGTTCATATAACGTACACGTGTACAAGGGAACAAAAGATGGTAAGCAAACACAGGGCCGGCAGAGAGAGAACTTGCTCTTTGATTGCAATGTACCCCAACATTGGTGTAAGTCAGAGGTAACATCAGAGTATGGCAGACAGAGGGCAGGGATAAATAGAGGGTGGGGACAGAGAGAACGAACTAGCTAATTGAATACAATGTCCCCCAACATTGGTGTGAGTCAGAGGTAAAATCAGAGTATGGCAGACAGAGGACAGGGACAGAGAGAATGAACTTGCTAATTGAATGCAATGTCCCCCAACATTGGTGTGAGTCAGATATAACATTAGAGTATGGCCGACAGACAGAGGGCCGGGACAGACAGAACTTACTCCTTGAAAGTAATGTCCCCAACATTGGTGTGAGTCAGATATAACATTAGAGTATGGCAGACAGACAGGGCCGGGACAGACAGAACTTACTCCTTCTAAGTAATGTCCCCAACATTGGTGTGAGTCAGATATAACATTAGAGTATGGCAGACAGACAGACAGAACTTACTCCTTGAAAGCAATGTCCCCAACATTGGTGTGAGTCAGATATAACATTAGAGTATGGCAGACAGACAGAGGGCCGGGACAGACAGACAGAGGGCCGGAACAGACAAACAGAACTTACTCCTTGAAAGCAATGTCCCCAACATTGGTGTGAGTCAGATCTAAGAACTCCAGCTCTGGGCACAGCTTCAGTATTCGATGAACCTGTATATGAATACATTAAAACAGCAGTGTCACAATAATATGCATGTAATTTATTTAGGACTCAATGTTACTGAAAGACTCTTAGAGTATCACAGACCAAGAAGAGGACAAATACTTCTGTTTTTTCTGTTTTCTTCCAAGTATTTTTTTTTAACCCTCCAGGCTGCTAACTGAAAGACTGATCACCCTGAAATCAAAAAATCTTATGGCAAGTCAACAATCAAATCCAGATACATCATGCAACCTACAAAGAAGTTACAACTGGGGCACTCTTAGTGGCTGCGCCAGCCTGCAGCAGCTGCAGTCTTGTGTGGATAAGGAGTTTTGTATCAGTAAAAGGACAAATGCTGATGCTCTTCATGCAGAGGACTGGCTCACTGATAGCATCATGTCTCTTCCCTTGTGGATTACGGGGCCCAGTGTGTGGGTGGGTGTGTGTGTGGGGTAGATCCACTTCTCTTCTAATAAGCCTATCAAAGTCAACTAATTAGGAGTGTTTCTTTCAAAGTTTGAGTGCATCTGCCTGAGAGGCGAGAAACCAACAGTCTGCATTTAAATAAGCTAAATCTGTAAAAACAGGTGTTCATGGAAAGTTCAAGTTCGGGAACAAAACCAAAGTTCAAAAGTGGATACACAAGAACTTTCGGCTGGAGTTTACAGCTGGTGAACGCTAAGAAGATGAAGAAGAAGCAAAGTATCATGTTGTAGTATCATACTGTTGCTATACTAAATGTCATAATAGTTTGGGACAAATGATAATGGAGGGTATCGTTCCCGGAAGAAAAGGCAGGGGTTGACCAGCAGGACAGTAAAAAGAATGTCAAGTACATCCTAAGCATGGGAGTTCATGTGGCGGGAAAGTCTGTGAGGGGCCGAGTTAATTTCTGCCATAACATGCTGAGAGTGACATTCTGCAAAGGACCTGCTACATAATGATGATTAAAGTGTAAAGGAGAAATTAACATTTTCAAATGAATAAACTAGAAGACTAGAAATAAATCTAGTCATTTCATTCATTCATTGTCCTGTAAAGGGTTCTTTTCCACGCCTTTTAGCGTATAGGGCATATAGGGCTAGACCTATATTTTTACAGACCAATTGGCACAAGATGTGTGATGTGATCAGCATCACACCAGCCACCTTTACTTCCCGGGACTAGACCCGGTACCCACTAAAAGCTGGGTCAACTTGAGAGTCAAGGTCATAAAAAAACAAATTCTGGCTCCGCCAGGGTGCAAACCCACGAACTTCCCATCTGCGCACAAGCATCTAGCCGCTACACCACGGCGACTCCAATTCATTGTCCTGTGGTGCCATTATGTCACATAGGGCTCACCGTCTGTTCTATCTTGCAAAATCCGCTCAACAGCATGGATGGAACCCAGTCCAGCACTGGCCTTTCTCAACAGTGCTTGTCTGAGGGTTTCTTTTGGGCTTCCTCGCCTTCTTAGTCTTTTTATTTTCCATTTTAATGTCCGCTTGATCCTTCTCTGCTGGCTTCTAAGGATGTGTCCATTATAGCGCCTTCTTTTCTGTCTTATAAATGTTGATACTAGTGGTTGCCCAGACATTTCTTTAATTGCTTGTAAATTCCACCCATTCTATTTTCAACATTTTCCCCAGGCATTTGTTTTAAAGAAAACTAGTCACACAAATCTTTAAAGAACAAGAAATGAAATAGTTTTTGTATCTGGCAAGAGCACCCTGGTATCAAACTACTGCAGAGAGTCACGTTGAAGAAATATAATGAGCTGGGAGTAAGGAAGATCACACTAAAGACTGGGTAGTGAAATTACGGAAAACCTTACAGAAATGGAAACCAACTTACACAATGAAAGAGAACATTTGCACCTTATCCCAACATTTCACTGAGGGAACATAAGAGGGTAAGATGAAGAAAAGGTTACAGAAAACAAATTAAGGATCTGCAACAGCACAGTGGTAAGTGAGTGAGTCCACTTGCTTGTCAAATTAATGGTCCAAGGTCAATTCCCAGCAAAGGCAGGATGACTGTCCTCCTACATCTTGACATGGTTGGGACAATATAGCACACCTTGAAAACAGCCAACATTCCAAGACTTAACATTTGCTAGAAGATAGAACGTATCTGAATGTATGTGGAGTGCTAGGATGTCACAAATCATTTAGACATGATACAGCCTGCGCTCAGTGAGGAAAACCCAGATCTATAACTAAAAAACCCAACAACAAATCAGTAATAAACTTACCAAGCTGCTACTCAAGCCTCTGCTATAGGCAAGGTCACACACTTTAACCCCCGACCCCACTTGAGGCAGTAAGTACTTCACAATGGCGGTTAACATCCTGACTTCTTTAAGAATCTGGTAAACAACCAACAAGTGCAAATGTAAACAAATATATCTCAGAGACTTAAAACTCTAGCAGAATCAAGCAATTTCAACAGATTCACTGGCTACTCTTTGCATGGTCCACATTTCTTGAATCATTTTTTCTCCATTCTTCTGTTATGTTAGCCTACCCTTTTTAATCTTTTGTCTGAGTGATGTAATTGACCTGTGCCTGTTTACAGTATACCTGCAACATTTACACCTTTTGACCGGTGTGATCAAACTTCATCTGGTATTTATTCCCCAGGTTAGCCTTCCCTGTGTTAACTTATTCTACTTCAGGTGTAAGTATAACTTCTGCCCATAAGCTTCATCAATTCCCTAAGACTAAAATTCTGCTGATCTAAAATACACAAACTCTAGGAAGGTGGCGCTGAATTAAGAACTACCTATGACTGACTGAGGTTCAACCCCACACAAGCGATAAATACGCGGTGACACAAAGTGCCACCATGCGGGTGAGGATCACTCGTGGAAAGGTCCCAGAAACCCCTTTCAGCCGTTACGGCAACAATTGTTGTGCATCTATATTCAGGGCCCCCGGCAAAAGCCAGGGTGGGGCTTCAAATAACAAATAACCGCATCCCAGAAGGGGACACCTTGTAGCACTATCAGGGATGACTCTACAACAGTTTCTCTGAAGTGAGAGTACATTTGCCTGAGAAATAAAGAACTAACTCTCTGCATACAAATAAAAGCCAGATCCGTAAAATGGACATGCAAGCAAAACTCAAGTTCTGGAACAACGAACAAACAACCAGAACTTTCTGCAGGTGTTTACAGCTTGTTAAAGCGAAGAAAAAGCTATTGTGAGCAATATATAGATTTATAAAGGGTTATGTCCCTTGGAAGTACAGTAAATGTATATACAGCATTTATCTCCCTTGGAGTTCAGATTAAAACTGAGGAGTTAATATGTAAATCAGACCGCAGACCCATTTGCCGGGATCAAAGACCTGTATAGCCGTGCAATGAAAGAAAACTGTGGAGTTCATGAATTAATGTGAACCCTGGTCGTCATGCTAGGCATGAGAGAACTCATATGGAGATGGTGAGCTGTGTGTTGATTTTAGAGGCAGTTTACTCCTTGAAGTCAGAGGAGCAATTGACTCTGTGAGATTGGAGAAGAAGGATGCACCATCAAGAGCCCCTGAGAACTGATGCTGTTCTTGAGTGTGCCACTGTAGGGCATTTTAAGAGAGGTCTGTTGATGTGTGTGAATGTAGGTTATAGTCTGGGTGTTGCTAGGCTAGACTTGTGCATCTACGTCATGCTGACTAACGGAATCAAAGAGTTCCTGTTGTCTGTTGGAGCTGCCGCAGTAACAAGGTTCTAGCATGATGGGTTCGTGATGTGAGATATTCAGGATATCTCGAGGTAACGTGACAGGCCACAGACAGGAGGTTTGCCTGGTTCTTCAAAAGATTTTGTGCATTGCCTGAGATGCTCTCTAGGACAGTCTCTCTAAGGTCTGGGGAGTTGTGAGAGTGACAGTCACGTTAATCATGAAGGTGGATCTGCATGATTGGGTACTGAAAGCCCGTGGCAGCCACGGGACATAGGTGTGACGGGAGGAGTCCTTCAGAGCAACGTCTTGAACATGTGCATGTGGCAGAAGGGAAAATGACTGTAGTATTGTGTTAATCATATCTCGTGATGTAAACCATTTCCTGATGACAGTATCTGAATATAATCAACAGTCTCTGGTGGTAGACTTGTGTTCACAGTCATCTGTTACTGTTGGGCGAGAGCTGTTACCTGTAGGTCTTGTCATGACTGAGTTAACCCGAGACCATTTGGCATGTGTGCGCGTCGGACAGGCCCAGCATAAGGTGTGTAGGGAGCCTGGACATCGCACACGTCAGAAGATGACAGCAGTTCAATGTCTTCCAGTGATCATTCTAACCTGCTTAATTGTGTGTGCTTTGATAGCTCGTCTGCTGATGTTGATGTATTGTATTCTTTATTCTGCATTCTTCTTTAAAAGGGTGGCTAGCAAATTGTAGTCTACAACTTGTATGCTTGCTAGGGAGAAGTGACTGCCCACATCAGAAAGAGACAATCTACAGTCTTTAGTCATGTGATGAGAAGGAGAAAACTGGAGTACATCCTGAGGGTAGTAGAGCTGGAGAGGAGAGGCAGAGGGAGACCGAGAGAACAGATGCTGGATAGTCTGACATCATGGCACAGAAATTCATCTGTGTCAAGAGTTGACTGAAAGTACACAAGACAGAAGGTTGTGGATAGACTACCAACGCCACAGGCCATGGACTTGGAGAAGAAGGAGGAGGGAGAAGAAGGGAGAAGTGGGTTTATTCTTTCTTTCTTCAAAATGGGGCTCCATAACTCAGTGGAGGATCTCAGAGTTTTTTAATCAGACACAGGACAATTCTAACCTCCTTCATTTTAAGTGTGAGTTTATAGTTAACGTCTTCTGATACTAGTGTGTTGTTTCTTCTTCTTCTGCTTTCATCTTCAAAAGGGTGGCTAGCATGTTGTGTTGTGGTTTACAGCTACGCTGGAATATCTGTACTTCAGCCCAACACATTAAATTTCAACAAACCGCTAATTAACCACCTTTTTATGACATGCTTGTAAGGAGTGCAGAGGGTTTATTCATCCCCCCCCCAGCACTAGAACCAACACAGGGATGTTCACAAATGCTAAAGATTTCTAGACACAATTCTAGAGTGTCTACAAATTTACATCTGCTACCTAAATCATCAAATACTTTTCTTAGCTTGTATTAGCTACAACAAAATTATGCTGGATCATGAGAAAAGGATTCTGGCTCATGTATTATTTTAGTTTCCTGTACCCCTGGACACACATGATCTAGTAACAGAATAAACTACCTGCTTCTGGCCTTCTGCCTCCACATTCTCTGCTGTGTCGCTGTCCTCTGATTCATCAATGTCTGCATCCTCATCCACACAAACACATGCCTCCTGTTCATCCTCCTCATGGATGTTTGACAACGGAAAGCCTAGACCCTCCACACCCCCTATGGACTCTGGGCTGAAGCTCCAGTTACCTGTAACATGTTCACAAGAGCTCATCTCAGTCTAGTTACCTGTAATATGTTCACAAGAGCTCACCTCAGTCTAGTTACCTGTAATATGTTCACAAGAGCTCACCTCAGTCTAGTTACCTGTAACATGTTCACAAGAGCTCACCTCAGTCTAGTTACCTGTAATATGTTCACAAGAGCTCACCTCAGTCTAGTTACATGTAATATGTTCACAAGAGCTCACCTCAGTCTAGTTACATGTAATATGTTCACAAGAGCTCACCTCAGTCTAGTTACCTGTAACATGTTCACAAGAGCTCACCTCAGTCTAGTTACCTGTAACATGTTCACAAGAGCTCATCTCAGTCTAGTTACCTGTAACATGTTCACAAGAGCTCACCTCAGTCTAGTTACCTGTAATATGTTCACAAGAGCTCACCTCAGTCTAGTTACCTGTAACATGTTCACAAGAGCTCACCTCAGTCTAGTTACCTGTAACATGTTCACAAGAGCTCATCTCAGTCTAGTTACCTGTAACATGTTCACAAGAGCTCACCTCAGTCTAGTTACCTGTAACATGTTTACAACAGCCCATTTTGGCCCAGATAACATACAGGGGGTGATGCAGAGGAACAGATGAAATAACTTCCAGTCTATATTGGGGGACTAGGCATAGCAGAATGTTAAGCTTCAACATTATTTTTGCTTCTGATGCTTTCCACATATGGATGGAGGTCTATTGTGGTGCTGCCTGAGCTAGTGAGGTTAGTGATTTGTACAGCCCTGTAAGCTGTGTTTTTTCATGTGGAATGCATTTCATTTTTGCAGCGGTTAAGTCGTGGTAGTCACATGGCCGGTAGCCGGTTTACGTGTGGGCTGGTGAAATATCTTATGTAATAACTCTACGTGTATATAGCCAACTTAGCGTGCCCGACTACTCCCATCAACGACAAACTGCATTTCTGGTGGTGGACTGTTGGCTTTGGCTTTTTAAAATAAGACAGTGAGGGACAATTCATCTGATTTTCACTGGCACAGGAACCGAGCAAGTATAGAGTGAGAACCGATTAACTGATTTTCTACCATACGGAATGGGAAATCAGGTTTCGAGATATGAACCAGTCAGGAAGGAATCGAGTTTGTGAGTCGAGGTAGCACTGTATGTGTCTTGCACTACAGACCCAATACATCTCATGGTGTGAAAGGGGGTTCTCTACTCATTTATACACAGCCACCTATGCATACACTCCTCCCTCCCTCCATCATCCATACAATCGTCCTCCATCCATCTATACATATATACGCCCCTTCCTCTATACACAGACACATCCCTCCCTCTATACACAGACATTTTCCTCCCACCATCCATAAACATCTCCTTTCCACCATCCATACATGCCTGCATCCATCCATCCACCCATACACCTTTCCCTCCCTCTATCCATACAAACAGGCATACTGCAACCTTCACAAAGCAACTGACCTCTTGACCAGTGAACTGGGTGTAGCTGTGACCACAGCGATGGGTCTCTGGACAGTTGAAGGAAACTCTGTGACACCTGGCCCAGTCTGAGAAGATCTCTGGGCCCCAGGAATGAGAAAATCTGCAAGCATGTCTCATCAGGCAACTTTGAGAAGTGGCATTCTGTGAGTTCCAACTGATCCTCAGCTGTAAACAAAAAAGTCAAAAATTCTTCATGTTTAACAAGATACTATATAAACAACCAAGACAATGCTATCAGAAACACTCAGTATTCCACCTCAGTGCTTACATACGACCGGCTAAAGCTGACAGGCCGTGCTGCTGACATCACCGGGTTGGGCTAACGATGAGTTAACACAGGGGTTCTCAAACTTGGTGACGAGGCACCCCGTGGTACCGTCAGCGTATGCCAGGGGTGCCGCGGCATTAATCAGGAAAAGGTGGCTAAAATTGTGAAATTATTAAAGAAGGCACGTAGATACTTAAAAGTTAAAATTTCAATTGTCTCCCCTTGCCACTGTCGAAAAAAGTTTACTTTTTGTTTGAGAACCGCTGCGTTAATGCATTGTTAGCCCGACCCAGTGACGTCCACATCATGGCTGGTCAGCTAGAGCAGGTCGTAGCCTACAGCTGATTGTAAAACTAAAGGTGTCAATGTTTGCCTGCATTGGGATGCAGAGGTGATGAAAAACATGTGCTAGTGCCTCCCAACCTGGTCAATGTAGATATAATATATGTTTCCTCAAAGTTGGACTGTATCTGCCTGAGAGGCAAGGAACCAACACTCAGCACACAAATAAGCCAGATCTGTAAAATGGGGGTGAAAACAAAAGTCCAGAAGTTGGCGCACAACCAGCATTTTCTGCCTCGTGAGTTAACAGCCGGGGAACACTGAGAAGAAGATGGCCTTTACGCTTCTCATTTCCTGTTGACCTTGTTCCTTGTTATGCCAGGATATGACAAGAACACTGGTACATGTCTTATACATCATACTGTTTCCTATTTCAATCATACTGTTCATCTTTTGGCCTAACGTAACTATTTTTTTAACTCCCCACTTCTCTCACAAGTTACCCCCGAGTGATAATAATCTTGAGTGGAGCAGAAAGCTTAAAATGTTATAAACCAAATCAACAGTATGTTATACAAATTCGTGCCGTTGTATTTTCTATATTTTGTCAGTAATTACTTATCCTGAGAACACAATTTTTTGCAAAGGTTCAGATTTTCATCTCAACGTTAGTTCTTTTTATACATAAATAAAATTTAGACTGCCCAGTTGTATCGAAGCAGACATTTTCTTTGCTATTTTCATCAGTTGTTATTTATAGTTAGGTAATAAACCAATTTTACGTGAATTATAAGTATAATAGAACTTAGATGCATTTTTGCAATTGTCTACCATAATGGCGTAAGTCAGTTATTTCTCCCTACTCAGGTACATTAATGATTAGCATAGGACATTAGGTATGTTTTTATACCTTGTGCTGTAACTGGGTAAACGATGTAGCACCATAATTACACTTTTATACCTTATGCTGTAACTGGGTAAACGATGTGGCACCATAGTTACGCTTTTATATCTTGTGCTGTAACTGGGTAAACGATGTAGCGCCATAGTTATGCTTTTATACCTTGTGTTGTAACTGGGTAAACGATGTAGCACCATAGCTATGCTTTTATACCTTGTGTTGTAACTGGGTAAACGATGTAGCACCATAGCTATGCTTTTATAAATTGTGTTGTAACTGGGTAAACGATGTAGCACCATAGCTATGCTTATATAAATTGTGCTGTAACTGGGTAAATGATGTAGCACCATAGCTATGCTTTTATACCTTGTGCTGTAACTGGGTAAACGATGTAGCACCATAGCTATGCTTTTATATCTTGTGCTGTAACTGGGTATACAATGTAGCACCATAGCTATGCTTTTATACCTTGTGCTGTAACTGAGTAAACGATGTAGCACCATAGTTACGCTTTTATACCTTGTGCTGTAACTGGGTAAACGATGTAGCACCATAGCTATGCTTTTATACCTTGTGCTGTAACTGGGTAAACGATGTAGCACCATAGTTATGCTTTTATACCTTGTGTTGTAACTGGGTAAACGATGTAGCACCATAGCTATGCTTTTATAAATAGTGCTGTAACTGGGTAAATGATGTAGCACCATAGCTATGCTTTTATACCTTGTGCTGTAACTGGGTATACGATGTAGCCCCATTGCTATGCTTTTATACCTTGTGCTGTAACTGGGTAAACGATGTAGCACCATAGTTACGCTTTTATACCTTGTGCTGTAACTGGGTATACGATGTAGCCCCATTGCTATGCTTTTATACCTTGTGCTGTAACTGGGTAAACGATGTAGCACCATAGCTATGCTTTTATACCTTGTGCTGTAACTGGGTATACGATGTAGCCCCATCGCTGTGCTTTTATACCTTGTGCTGTAACTGGGTAAACAATGTAGCACCATAGTTATACTTTTATACCTTGTGCTTAACTGGGTAAACAATGTAGCACCATAGTTATGCTTTTATACCTTGTGCTGTAACTGGATAAACAATGTAGCACCATAGTTATGCTTTTATACCTTGTGCTGTAACTGGATAAACAATGTAGCACCATAGTTACGCTTTTATACCTTGTGCAGTAACTGGATAAACAATGTAGCACCATAGTTGTGCTTTTATACCTTGTGCTGTAACTGGGTAAACAATGTAGCCCCATAGTTATGCTTTTATACCTTGAGCTGTAACTGGGTAAACAATGTAGCACCATAGTTATGCTTTTATACCTTGTGCTGTAACTGGGTAAACAATGTAGCCCCATAGTTATGCTTTTATACCTTGTGCTGTAACTGGGTAAATGAAGTAGCACAATAGTTATGCTTTTATATCTTGTGCTGTAACTGGGTATACGATGTAGCACCATAGTTATGCTTTTATACCTTGTGCTGTAACTGGGTAAATGAAGTAGCACACTAAATTTTATAGCGCTTTGCGACACCTTCGGTGCAACAGTTGTGCTCTTACTCAGCATTTCCGTAAAAACATAAGAAACATGAGTTTTTGTGAAAGATCAATTGATTAAATTTGAACTGTCTGCTGTACAACTAACTCTTAAAATTCACTCTAGCAAGGATCATTATATTTTTGTATAACTCAAATAAGCCAAAGTACATTCCGACTATGTGTTATGAGTGCAAAAACTGTGATATAAAGAAAATAAAGTAAATATTAATTTATAAATTTATACATTTATATTCCACCACAGGTGAGATTTAATTTTATCAGCATTGGCACAAATTTGTAAATGCACTATAACATTTGAAAACCATAGACGTTAGTCCCTCATTTCATTTTGCATAATTCTGGTATCAAAATCCCCCTCGGCATAATCAATTTGGAACATTCATTAATTGTAGTGCCTGTACAGGATACTGAAGTACTTTTTCCAAAGATTTCTATTTAAGTTTTGTTCTAAATATTTGTAAGGTGCATTAGTTAGCTCTTGCCCATCTACTAACTGTTACAGGACCTAGTCCTTCCTAGAAACTGTGATCACAAAATGTTTCTTCAATTTCTTTTTTCTATGGTATTCTAGGCTATAACATTTGAGGCATGGTGGCCAGTTTCCTTATTCGCCACCTTTTCTTTCCCAGATATTTTCTTACAATTCAGAAAATAGCGGTCTATTCTCATGAGGCTAGGTCCACTCCAGAGACCCACTAGCCATAAGTTAAAAAAAAAGGTATTTATTTCCAGTACATGTGTCAGATGTGTGATTTCTATCGGAGAGGTCAGTTAAGGGATTCTGTATATTTCTATTTATACACTGGTATTGTAGATTAATGTAATATTCTGATGAAGGCTCTCTAGCTGCAACGTTTACTTGTCGCTTGTAATTATGATATTATGAAGCTGAGTAGTTCGACTATTCATCTGGTTTGATATCTTTTCATGACAGAATTAAAAACAATCTTGCCAATGTTTAAAGACTGAAGGTCTTGCTGCTTCTGCACCACATCTTATGGTTTTGCCTCCATGGTTGCTTTAAAAAAGAAAATCCCTGTTGTCTGGAACAGACTACCAATACCCCGACCAACAAGAGGAGGGAGGCAAAAACATCAGGTGTGATCCAAAAAGCTTTTTTCTTTTTCTTCAAACAAACAAACAGAACTAGAAAATAAACCCAGATCCGTTTCTCGGAGGTAAGTGAAATATCCCTATAGACATAAATCACAGACATGCAGACGTACATTTGAATAGATCCTCCACAAACTTCTCGTGGTGGTACTCTTCATGTTTCTTAGAAATATAATGCTGGTAGATGACTTTAGCTTTCAAATCCTTCAGCTCCTCATAGCTGAAGTACTGCATCAGCATTGGCTGGAACACCTGGTCAACAAAATGGTGGTTCAACAGAATAAGGGAATATGGTGAGCAATCATCACAAAGAAACACAAAACACGCTTGAAACAAAGGGCAATAAACAAACATATAACAGCAGGAGTCTTTCACAGTCATTGTAAAGTTATCTCCTGTCTTTTGCATTTTACTGACATAAGAAAACACAGAGACAAACAAGAAAAGTTCTCTACCTCCTCTTCCTCTTCCATGTGAGGTATGAAGTTCTGGGTGAAGATATCTAAAGCATTCATTAACTTGTTCCCGTACACCTGCCGTTCTTGCTCTGTTTTATGAGCCCACCTAAAACAAGTGCAGAAATGCAGCTATTTTAAAATGTCCTACTCATAAACAAAAAAACAGTTGAGAATTATACTAAATGTCCGCAGTATCAAAGATGTAAAAAATAAGCAAATAATAATTAAAATAAGTGTCCAATTTATGATTAACATTTTTTAAAAATTTACTTAGAGCAGAGCATGTCTGCAGTTATATTGCTGGCATTATAGCAAAGCCACCTAATTGGCAAATGCTTGTGTCAATAAATTTGTGTCTGAACACTGACATCTCTCTGAACTGGAAAACAAAAACTGTAGTCTCCACTGCTGTTTATTACAGAGCGCAGATATTAAAAGTTTGTGACATTTTCAATTTCCTTATCATTTATTGTTATTTTTTTGGTGGTAACCAGTTTTATTTTGGACATTAATTTCATTTTCTTTAAATTCAAGAACAGATTTTGATCTTCACTGTGCTTTTGGACAGACAATATAAAATGTTTTATCCCTTTACACTGTTTGAAAGGAGGACTGTGTCATCTGCGTAGTGAAGTTCTGGAAAAGGGTTGCCAACCTATTTTCCTGGTGTGGGTTCCGGGGCCCCATTTATTTAGACAAAAAAAAGAATGGACCCACTGCCCCCCTTAACAAGCATGTCATTTAAGGTGACTAATTACAGCTGTTTCTTTTAAAGTCAGAGTGCATCTGCTGAGAGCCGAGGAACCAACAGTCTGTATACAAATAAACTAGATCTGTAAAATGGATGTACACACAAAACTTAAGTATAAAAACACGACCAAAGTCTAAAAGTAGATGACCGAAAAAACTTGACAGGGGTTGAGAGCCAGTTAATGCTAAGAAACAGAAGAAAAAAGAAGAATTCTGACATATTTTGAGTAGGAATCCACACACAAAACGTCTCATCTCTGGCATATTGTTAAGTGATGAATAGCAGCCCTGAAAATGCACAAGTGAAAACTGCCAACCTATACATAGGTGACTTTAGCATAGTACCAACAAAACATTGTAATTAGAGCAGAAGCTTTCCATAAATCTGTGTATAGTTTAGAAACATACACTTCATCATCATCCTGATCATGTAGCTTGTTGACTGGCATAGGCAATCTGGCTTCTCCACATGCTGAGGTCTTCAATACCATGCATTAACTCTTTCAGGCCCAATCAACACTGTGTGTGTTGAATGAGAAGTTCAGATTTGTCTAAACCACACAGTCTGTGTTGACCATGTGTCTTGCCCATGGGGATTCACATACTGTTCCATATAAGTTTTTAAAGGGAAGGTCACTCTAATATTTTACTTTGTTTACAAGTCTTTATTTATGCATTTAAAGACAGTCAATTTTTTTATTTCCTCTTCGACTGACTGTAGCATACTAGGGCTAAAGAATGTTCCAAACAGTACCATACGATGGCTAAGGACTGTTCCAAAAAGTACCATACTATGGCTAAGGACTGTTCCAAACAGTACCATACGATGGCTAAGGACTGTTCCAAACAGTACCAAACGATGGCTAAGGACTGTTCCAAAAAGTACCATACTATGGCTAAGGACTGTTCCAAACAGTACCATACGATGGCTAAGGACTGTTCCAAACAGTACCATACTATGGCTAAGGACTGTTCCAAACAGTACCATACGATGGCTAAGGACTGTTTCAAACAGTACCATACTATGGCTAAGGACTGTTCCAAAAAGTACCATACTATGGCTAAGGACTGTTTCAAACAGTACCATACCATGGCTAAGCTGTATTGAAATCACTGAAGCTACAGAGTGTATATAACTCATTATCATCAGGTGCCTTGCCGACTGGCGTAGGCGATCATGCCTCTCCACAATCTGCGATCTCCTGCAGCATGTATCAGTTCATGTGCTGACACACCTCCATGCCATGCAACAAGACTGTTAAGAATCTTCTCTTGTTGTCTTCCTCTATCCCTCCCTCCACAGATCTTTCCAGTGGTCACAACATGTTTCATTTTCCCTTTTCTCATCGCATGGCTGAAAAATGATGACTGTCTCCTTCTGATGTCTGTGATAAGTTGCCTTTGGGCTCCCGCCTCTTTCAAAACCTCTTGGTTGCTCTTTCTGGCTGCCAAGGTATTCTAAGCATTCTTCTGTAAAACCACATCTCTGAGGCCTCAAGAAATTGTTTTGCCTGCCTACCGATTGTCCAGGATTCACAGCCATATGTTAAAACTGGATGTATGTCGCAAGTTAGAATTCTTTTTCTAACTCTCAATGACAACGATATACTGTATATAACTATAAAGTAAATATTTTGTGTGTAACAGTCAATTTTTCGCAGAAATTCTGTCCAGCACTTCCCAAGAACCTACAGCCTCCGAGTGATGAACTAACACATAAAATTAGTACAACTTTTGAATTGTTAGGAAACTGAACAAATTTGAAAGGGTTATTCTCAAATGTGGATATTTACTGCTCTTGTGGCTGTAAAACCATGTAAGTGGGGAATTGTTTTGTAAAATGTTGTCTCTGTGAACATAAGCATTCTTGTTGTTTTCCACTAACTATAACAGCATTAAAAACTTACAGATCATCAGATTAAAAATGTACATTCATTCTTCTTTGAAAAAGTATATAATTTTGTAGGGATTAGAAATATATTACATTCTCTATTGCATTAAAAAAAATATTTTTAACACGACCACCTCCACCATTCTTGTAAAGGGAAATCAATGCGAGCAAAGTCTAACGTAGTTCATGGGCATGAAAGAGTTAAGTAAGGTACTGTCACCTTTCCAGGCAATGACAAAAGACTATTAAGAATCTTTCCTCTTTGTCGTCTTTACGTCTTGTCACAATATGTTCCAGTTTTCTCTTCTTATTAAACATGCAGAAAATGATGATGCATAATTCATGTTTTCAAAATGTAGTTATGCATACTTTACAAGATTTTGTAAACTAGTCCTAGTATGTGTCGTATAGTGAACCTCATTTTCTCCTAGATAAATTATGTCCCAGATGGAATGACGTCAGTAATAAATGTGAGTGGAATATTTTGAGTCTAACTGGGACAACATGTAAGCTGTAGAGAAATGCTGACAGTCAAACTTCACGGCTAAAAGGTAAAGTGATGTATTTGATGTCGAGTTACAATGTATGCCTGGACCGTAGTCTATTTCATGTGCCGGCTGAGGAAGTCGCGAGTGGAAGAATAAAGTGCAGAAACAGTCTCGTGTTGTTTTCCAGTCGTCCATTTTTCTGCTCGTCGTGTGATGTCGGTGTGTGAAATAGGAACATGCAATGACGAGAGCCAGATAGAAGACAATAGACAGTCATTGCATGTCGGCTGTTTATGGTTTTAACAGGCAATTTTCAGCTAGCAGTTTACCATGGTTGGCGCCTGTGGCTTAGGAATTGCAAATGAGCTTTGTAATTCCGGGGGTGCCAGGTTAGATCTCAGCTCTGAGCCTTGCGCTGGTTTAAACAGTGGGATCGAGAAGCTGACCGTCCAGAAAGCAATGGCAAACTACCAGATGTAAACATGCCTAGAAAAACCACAACAACCAAAAAATACTGGGGTTGGTTTTGCAACATCCTGCAAATGATAAGCAACTAACTTTAGTTTACCACTGATTTCTAAATGGTCAACAATTCATACCACTGCCTACATCAATGTAAAACAGTCTCCTGCCACATCGCCTGCAGCTGAACTGAACTGGACATTTCAGAATGATGACTCACATTTGTAATCCTGAAGCCTTCTAATTTAGATTACTCAATCTGGCCAACTGAATTTTAAACACTGTCCTTTAAAACTGAGGCTTCAATGGATAAAATGTCTTTTCTTAAACTGTGACCAATTCAGATATAAACTGTTACAGAAGGCAGAGAGTCTCACCTGTAGCCATCCACCACGAGGTCCAACATGTCGGTCAGTCTGTTGTCACTGTGGCAGTTACAGACGGCGGCACTGGTCACTGAGGCGGCTTTCAGCTTGTTCTTCAGCTTCCTCATGATCAATATGTTCTCTATCTGCTCATGGGCCTTGAATTCAGTGAACACATTCATGAGATTCTTCAGCAGTGTTGTCAGATCTACCTCATCCCGAAAGTCGGTAGTCGTTATCTGAGCAATAATATATAATCATTATATTATATTTAATCCGAACAACGAATATATGAATATATTATAGTTAAGCTGAACAATAAAAAATATTATAACAACATTACAATTAATCTGAACAACATGAATTGTTTGTATTACATTATATTTCCTTTTCTTGGCATCTACCTGCTGTAAACTGGTGAAAAGTTCTGGCTGTTGTTCACTTCTGGACTTCTGGTATTGTTCTAGAATGTGTGTTTTTCATGAACATCCATTTTACAGATCTGGTATATGTGTATGCTGAAAACTGTTGGTTCCTCCCCTCTCGGGTAGACACAGACTGACTTTGAAAAAAAAAAAGCGCCCCTAATTACCTTATACATTATTTTTAATCCCGAGTGTGATGATAAAAATATCTCATACAAAGCATATTCGTTAACACCCTTTCCTACCAGTGCCATGCATGTTTACTCATAACAAAAAAGACTATACAATTAGTAAGCATGGAACTGATATTTCTAAGAAAAGCTGCAGGACAAACTAGAAGAGATACAATCAGGAATGAAGTCATAAGAGACAAATTTGGCACAGAATGAATACTAAATTACATACAAAGGCAGCAAATAAATTTGCAATTTGCTTGCCCACTGTGAATACTTTGTAATGCCATGACACGCAAGGCATACACCAAAAGAAGCGAGGGACAAGGGACACTCAGCAACCTGAAAACAAGATGAAAAGATAACATCAGAACAAAATCTACAACAGTACTAAGTGTCTATAACTGGGGCGGCCAGAAGAGTCTATAACTGAGGCGGCCTAGAAGAGCAGGAACCAGAACTTTAAATCTCTCTCAAACTGTGGAGAAAACAAACCAACAGCAAACATCCACAAGAGCCCATTGGCAGATTAAACAGAAAGCAATATATAACAATTTTCCATCTATGAACGCGACACTGCAGGGTTAACTACTACATGCACAAAATAAAGACTGTACAGTCCCTACAAAGTGCCTGTCAGACAGAACCACAAACCCCTAAGCATATTATGCACACCTGACCACTCTACATACAACTTCGAAAAGACACCTGGCCTCATGAGCAAAGTTTGTAGAGCAAGCTGTGGGGAATCACACAGGACCTGTATCACAGATAATGAGATCTGCATTCATAGGTAAAGAGATAGGCACTCATAGATAAAGAAAAAAGCACTTAAAGATAAAGAGACAGGCACTCACAGATAATGAGATTTACATTCATAGATAAAGAAATAGGCACTCATAGATAAAGAGATAAGCACTCATAAATAAAGAGATAGACATTCACAAATAATGAGATTTGCATTCACAGATAAAGAGACAGGCACTCATAGATAAAGAGATAAGAACTCATAAATAAAGAGATAGGCATTTACAAAAAATGAGATTTGCATTCATAGATAAAGAGATAGGCACTTATAAAGAGATAAGCACTCATAAATAAAGAGACAGACATTCACAAACAATGAGATTTGCATTCACAGATAAAGACAGGCACTCATAGATAAAGAGATAAGCACTCATAAATAAAGAGATAGGAATTCACAAATAATGAGATTTGCATTCATAGATAAAGAGATAGGCACTTATAGATAAAGAGAAAAGCACTCATAAATAAAGAGAAAGGCATTCACAAATAATGAGATTTGCATTCACAGATAAAGAGACAGGCACTCATAATACAGAGATAAGCACTCATAGAAAAAGAGACAGGCACTCACAGATAATGAGATTTGCATTCACAGTTAAAGAGACAGGCACTCATAGATAAAGAGATAAGCACTCATAAATAAAGAGATAGGCATTCACAAATAATAAGATTTGCATTCATAGATAAAGAGATAGGCACTTATAGATAAAGAGACAGGCACTCACAGATAAAGAGATAAGAACTCATAAATAAAGAGATAGGCATTCACAAAAAATGAGATTTGCATTCATAGATAAAGAGATAGGCACTTATAGATAAAGAGATAAGCACTCATAAATAAAGAGACAGACATTCACAAACAATGAGATTTGCATTCACAGATAAAGACAGGCACTCATAGATAAAGAGATAAGCACTCATAAATAAAGAGATAGGAATTCACAAATAATGAGATTTGCATTCATAGATAAAGAGATAGGCACTTATAGATAAAGAGAAAAGCACTCATAAATAAAGAGAAAGGCATTCACAAATAATGAGATTTGCATTCACAGATAAAGAGACAGGCACTCATAATACAGAGATAAGCACTCATAGAAAAAGAGACAGGCACTCACAGATAATAAGATCTGCATTCACAGATAAAGAGACAGACACTCATAGATAAAAAGATAAGCACTCACAAATAAAGAGATAGGCATTCACACAAATTGAGATTTGCATTCACAGATAAAGAGATAGGCAGTCAAAGAAAAAAATAGTTCTTGAATGATCACTGTATACAAGAAACAGCATCACAGTGCTGTGTGTTTGTGTAGTTGTTATTTCACCGAGGCTTAGTTAATACATATTTATGTAACATATGGTGATGCTTTTCCAGTGCTTGGATACACATTCTGTCCATATTCCAGTTGCTGTTTCAGGTCGATGACAGACCTGGTAAATAATCACACCTTTTTGTTTTAAGGCGGTCCAGTTGATCATGAGTCAAAGTACATGCATTCCGCAGCGAGGTGCTGTCGTCATCTGGAGGTGACCGGCCGGAGTGCTACTATGGTGAGTTACAGGTAGGGAGGCAGAAAACAAAACGAGAAGTTCACAACTGACAATCATTGTCGATACTAGGAATCTTACTTCTGAACCGAGCATATTTTGGCTAAGAAAATGCACTAAGTCTAAGCTGCTTCGGCTCTAGTCCACTGCCAGGGCCTTGATGGTAAGTAAAGATATGAACTAACTGTTATTTCCTGTGAATGGCATTTCTGTCTGTGTCAAGTTTAGGTTTGAGAAAATGAAATGAACTTTGTAACTACAGCCTACTAAACGGAACGACTATTTTTGAGTATTTTAATTTTAAACGGTAGTTAAGTTTTAGTAACATTTATTTAGTAAATAATAAATAGTAAAATAATAATGTACTAAATTAGTAATTACTACTTTTTTTACAAGGACCACGCCCACCGACTTTACAATTAAAAACTAGATAGCAGCCAGCTTTAAGTCTTATGTTAAAAGAATTCTCTGGAAATGATGCTCATACCATATTACTATATTTATGTACGAGTTTCTTCATTCTGGAGTGGGGAACCGAGAAAACATCAACTTCTTCAGGCCAGCTGGGCGCCATTTTGTTGCGTGAGAGCAGCAGATCTCTAGTTCTCGCGGGATTTTGTGACGTCACGTTGGCATGGCGACGTTGATAGAAGCGGCTGGGAATCTGTAGAATGGAGAATTCCGTTTGCTGAGAGATCAGTTAACAAGTGATTTGTATATATTATAAGTGTCTCGGATTCTATTCGAAGAAGTAAATTAATTCACTAAGAGATTAAACCAGATATCTGCACATTATAAGTATCTGGGATACTATTTAAAGAAGTGGACAATTGATTTCTTTAAGTAGTTTAAGACTTTGAGAGATTAAATAAGTGAACAGTACTCGTTATTCAACCAGGTGTTGTCTGGGATTTGTTTAGAGAAGTGGAGAATTCATTTCACTGAGAGATTAAACAAGGGATGGGATCTGTTTACAGGTATCTGAAATACTGTTCTAGAAAGTAGAGAGTTCGGGCTATTAGGGATTATTTAAACAACTCTAGTCTAGGGAGAAGTTGAGTATTCAGTCCTTGCGAGATCAGTTGAACAAGTTATCTGTACTTATTAATATTACAAGGTGTGAAGCGTGTATTTTTTGGAAATGGCGAGAAATCCTTATGCAAACACGCAGATGCAAAGCTTCTGGAAAGAAACTGTTGAAAAAGAAGCAGCTGCCAGATTACTGGCTTTTCGTAAACAGAAAGGACAGCCTAGAAACACAGCACGACAGCTTGAAGTGTTTAGAAAGAAAATATTGGATAGTAAACCTTCAGACGCTGTTTTAGAACTACCGCCGATATCTTCTCACAAAAAGAAGACTGATTTAGATGACAGCAATTGTGCAGACAAATGGGCGCCAGAGACTTTGCTGAATGCACCAGAGATGCGACCAGTGACTCCAGAAGTGAGAAAAACTCTGTATAATGGGTTTACCAAGGAAGGCAAGGGCCGGCATGTTTATCTTCACCACCGTTACGAGAAAGATCCAGAAGAAAAGTACACATTTCCAACTTGTACATCTTGGGAGTATGGTTGGAAACTTGGGGAAGTCATCAAAAAAGATGACATAAAAAAGCCCAAATATGGACGTTACAGGATTGTGGAAAATACATTTTACACCAGAAATGGGCTTATGAGTAGCTACAGCAGGGGGCATTAGTGTTTCAATAACCAAGTTTTACATTTTACTATAGTCCAGCAGGAAAACAGAAATTGAAATATTTTCAGATTAACACAGTGGGAGATTATTTGACCATTTGGAAATGAAACAGCACAAACAACAATTTCTTCTTTTATTCAAAGCCAGACCACCATGTTAAAAACTGGAAACACTGTGGTTAGTCTCAAGCTCATTACATCCAAACGTGATACTTTTCTTGTGGAAGGAACCTGTTTAACACTAGACCTGGTTATCTTCATTACTGAAAGTAGGACACAACTGTTACACATGCCAGATAGTCATGGATGACTACATACTCTAGATAAAAAAAAATCACTTTTGAACACAGATATTTCAGTTATAGTGTGTCTTGGTTGCAGCTGAACAATTATAGTCTAATCGTGCACAGAAAGTTGGTGATTTTATATGTCAATAATTAGCTTTTTTTTTTTTTTGTACATGAAATCTACTGAAATTTTTTATGTGACTAAATACTTTATTGTTCTTTGTAATAAATTCTGGCAAAAGTTTTCAATGATATCATCTTTTTTTGTATATTTTTACAAATTCTGGTAACACTAAATATTTTATAGTTTTAGTATATTTTTGGGTCTCAGCTGAAATTCACAGAAAATAGGAAGGGAAAGCAAATAGCAGAAAACATAAATGAAAATAGAAAATTTGGAATTTTATTGAATTTGAACCATATTCAAATTCTGTGACCATGAAAATGCAAATAGTGTTTTATTGGTGATTTGTTATTGATGTACAGCATATGGATTGATGTGATTGATGGTGGTAACTTGTGATTTCAGTGACATTATGTTTACATTTTTAAAACAGATTTTCCAATGTTTTTTTTTTCCCACTTCATACTCAGAATCTTTTTAATTTGATATTTTGTGTGCAGAATGTAAAATATAATGTTACTGAACAGTGATGAGAATGTATACCTTTGCCCTAGAGTCACACCGAAGAGGTCTCGGTCTTTCCCTGTATAAAACAGATAGCAGGAGTGCTGATGGTCCCTATTCTGAACTGGTTAGCTGCATGTCCAGAATCGTCTACCATGGTTCATTCCTTGTTTGTACTTTTTTGTCTTTTCACACGTTAGTATTATATTGCTCTTTAGGAATGCATGTGCATAACAGCCCATGAAATGGACAATTAAGGCCTTGGGATGAACTTCCTAATCTTCATAGAGAGCTGTTGTAGAGAGCATGTGTTGCCCATGCAGCATGACCGCTCTATTGGCCTGCCTTGTTTACTCCAGAGGAAAGGTAACAGCAGGTTGCATGCTGTAAAAGCTCCATGCTCAGAAGAGTAGTTCTCTGTCTGCCAGAGTTTATCTCATAGACCATCTGCAAACCAAAGTCATGGGTTCAATGTCTTGAAAGAACATACATTTTCAGGTTACATTTCCTTGCCCTTGGGTAACGCCAAGATCCTTCCTAATAGACTACTTCATCTAAAGTAGCTGACAGTGTGGAGTGTCAGGGTTGGTAAAAACTGCATGCCATTCAGCGTTAACAGAGAGCAGTTAGTACTGAATACAGTAGCTCAGTCATTTCTGACCAAGAACTGAAACTAGACTTCGTTTTTAGCATATCCAAGAAACAGGAATTTAAATGTTGTCTTTTGTGTGTGTCTGGGAGCCGCAGTAGCACAGGGACTAGATGTTTACTTGTCAGCCCAGAGGTCTTGGGTTCAAAAATGCCACAACTGACCTTGACTCCAAGGTCGACATAGCCTGCTAAAAAAGGCACCAGGAAATTTTCAGGGGACAGCCAGTGTGAGGTTTACTATGTTACTCATTATGTGATGTTATCACAATCGACATCACTGCACATTGGGCATTCCTGTGCATGCTCAGTCCTCGGATGTAGCAGCCACTCCAAGGTACTTCCAATAATTTTCCCATGAGAGGTTGTTTATGTCTACTATCTCAACCTCAGTCAACATAGACATGATTCACCATGCTTGACTCTCATGTCATGCAATCGTGTTTGTGTCAAAGATTTGTCATTAACTCCACTAGCCCAGTGCGTGCAGTGTTCACAATGTCTTCTCTGTCTATGCTTCTACTCACATACATTGGTGCATTGCTTGCCAGTTGGTCTACTCGCTCATCATCCTTGACGCCAGCATGACCAGGTGTGTAGATCCAGGTGAGAGAGGTTAAGTGAGATTTTTGAATGCTTTCTACCCATTCACTGTCTGTTGCTATTTTCTGAAGCATGTTCATGGAGTCTGATACAATTACTGCATGTGTGACTGTTTGCTCTTCTGCCCAGGTTAGTGCTGTAGAAGCAGCGACTTTCTTTATGGTCATGCTTCATGTAGTTGCCTGGTAAGCACTACTGTCATCTTTTATTGTTTTCCCTATCCTTTGTGCTGTGTATGCCCATGCTGACCTTGATCAGTGCTTCACAGACTCATCTGTGTAGATGATAATGCAACTGAACAAATATGAGTGGAACATCATGTGCTAGATGTGCAGCCCATGTGAAGGGGTTCTTTACATTTCTGTACCAGGGGGTTCATTTCTGTACCAGGGAGTTCATTTCTGTACCAGGGGGTTTATTTCTGTACCAGGGAGTTCATTTCTGTACCAGTGAACTTATAAAATGTGATTTGGCTACTGCATACATCATCAATCAGCTTGCCTTACATCTGTTGGATACTTCATGTATCACAAACTTGTCTTTTAACTCATTCTACTTCTTTTGCTTTTAAAATAAAGGTTAGCACGTTCTGTTGCGGTTTGCAGCAAGGTTGTGATATGTGCACCTTTCGGTCCCACACATTCGGCTTCAGCAAACCATGAATTAGTCAAATTTTATGACTTACTTGTTGGAAAAGGGGTGAGGGGCTTGAGTGGGGATACTGAGCTTATCCTTTTCCCCCAGAAAATTGGGGACCTGAAATCCACATGCGAATTTGTAATTCATTCAGTTTCAATCAACTGGCCAAGGGTTTATTCTGTCCTCCTGAGATGATACATTTCACTAAACACTTTGTTTTCCATGCAGCTGCAATAATAGACCATGATATCTTAAATGTTATATTGAATGCTTGTGTCTCTTAATCTCATTATTTTAACTCTTCTTGATCTAAAGAATTATTACTGTAGGTTATAAATAGTTAAGAAATAATGAGTTAATTCATTTAATACCAAAAAACATGCTATATGTTTTTTGTTTGTTGTTGTTGTTTTTGTTTCTTAGTTTCCATCCTCCAGTATTGCTGTCTGGAGGATTAACATCTCAAGGATGAGAATCAGACCGGTAAAAATGCAGAAGACCCAGTTCAACCATATAGCCATGTAGCACAGTCACATTGTGGCATTACAAAATGGAGGTGAAATAACCTGTAGTCCAGTGAAGGTAGATGGTCTACACAATATGTTTATAGATTACTCTAAACTTAGAATCTGCGAGCTGCAGTAGCGTAGTGGCTACAAGCTCGCCTGTCAACCTAAAAATCTTGTGTTTAAAATTGCACTGTGTTGGATTTGATCAGCCTTGACTTTGGCTCCTAGGTCAAAGCAGCCTAATATTTCCTGGAAAGTAAATGTGACCCGTGTGATCCTGACAACACACCCGTGTGATCCTGACAACACACCCATGTGATCCTGACAACACACCCGTGTGATCCTGACAACACACCCGTGTGATTCTGACAACACACCCATGTGATCCTGACAACACACCCATGTGATCCTGACAACACACCCATGTAATCCTGACAACACACCCATGTGATCCTGACAACACACCCATGTGATCCTGACAACACACCCATGTGATCCTGACAACACACCCATGTGATCCTGACAACACACCCATGTGATCCTGACAACACACCCATGTGATCCTGACAACACACCCATGTGATCCTGACAACACACCCGTGTGATCCTGACAACACACCCATATTATCCTGACAACACACCCATATTGTGCCAAGTGACCTATACACAATGAGTCTAGCATCCTATGCCCAGTAGTGTAAAACGAGTTCTTTACTTTTCTTTTTGAACTTCAACTATCCATAAAATCTGTTTCTAAATTTATGTTTTGTTTTGTTAATCTGTTCTATTCCAATTCTTTTTTGTTAACCTGTTCTGCTTCCTGATTGCATTTTTGTTTCCCATTAAAACTCAAATACTGTTACTATTTGGTTGACCTGATTTTACCGTTATGTGTCTCTTTCCCATCACCAGCTGTATAGCTGATTCAATGTTTCCTAATGCTTAGTTTTATTCAGTGTTTTTTCCTGAAGTAGGTGCGGAGCCACTGGTAAGGTCCAAAGAGAGCTTTTAGGCCTACATGGAGCAAAGATTGGGAACCGTTGCTCTAGACATACTTTGAGATAGTTAGTTTTTAATGAAAAATGCCCGGGACTATAAGTGTTAAAATGATACCTTCCTGGCGCTTAAGTGCTAAAAACAAAATTACTTGTTTGTGAGGCTAAATACGGCAAGAAGATTAATTTAATGTTAGGTCCAATTTACTCTTGTTGTGTCGGCCTCTGTGGCTAAGGCTTTGCAAACACGCTTCATAATGCTGGGGTGCCAGGTTTGATCCCAGCTGTGGATGGTTTGTCTTGCGCTGATTTTAACAGTGGTACCAAGAACTGACCGTTCAGAAGCAGTGGCAAACTACTGAATGTAAAATGTGCCTCGAAAAACCATAACAGCCAAAAAATGCTTGTGTTGGTTTTGCAACTCCCTGTAAAGGATTCTCAACTAACTATTTATATAAATTTAAAAAGAGAACTTCTTAACCTGGTGTGAAGGCAACTTAGCTTCCTTAAAAATCTGGGGCTTTTGAGCACCCCCCCCCCCCCCCCCCCCCCCCCCCCCCCCCCCCCCCTCTTCCCCAGGGCCTAAGCCTCATTTTCCGGCTGCCCTGGTTCTAGATATGTTGTAACTGTGATTACATAACATACTCAGTTCAGTATGTTTCTTCGATTAGGACAGTCTTTGACATTGTATA